CGCGTGGCCCCGATCCCGGCGGCCCGCGCCCCTTCTCTCCGCGCCCGCCTCCTCCCTCCCCCTCCCTCTTCCCCACGCGCTCGCCCCTCCTCTTCCTTCCAGGCGTCCTCGTCTAGAATTTCGGCCGCGCGGCTCCTCCACCCCCGCGCCCCCCCCTCGGCCCCCGGGAATCGGGGTGACTCACTGTCGGCTCCCCAACGCGGGGAGCCCAGCCGGACTCGGAGGGGGCGGCAGTGCCCTCGGGTCCCCTCCCCCGGCCCCCCGCGGCCGGCCCGAGGACCGCATTGGGGGCCAAGAGGAAGTGATTGACTCGTTTCTCCCGTTGATCCCGGGACCAGCCCGGCGAGGCTGGGGCGCGGCCCCCCTCGGTGCCCATTTACACCCCAAGGCTGCCGGCCCCTCCACCCAGTCGTGGCCCCCCAGGCCTCTCCCACACCTCTGCCGGCCCAGGGGCTGAAGGCTGGGGTTGGGGGGTTAGCACGTGGGGTTAAACCGCAGGAAAATTGTCGGTGTGGAGTTGAGCGGATTAAATTCCCGGCTTGCACGTCTGCATGTCGATAAATATTATTTTATATGCACACAGGCATGGTGCCTTGGCGGATTAAATTATTTGGGTAGGCAGAGGCCGGTTCTTTATTATTACCCTAAAAGTAAACAAGAGAGGAAGTGGTAAAACGATCAGCTGAGAATTCATATCGATGCCCTCCCGGAAAAAAAAAAAAAGCCTTCCTAATCCTTGTGTTCTGAAATAAACAAAATAGTAACTTGTGAAAGTTACTGAAATTTATACCTAGAAGAACACACGAGTAGTTCAATAAAGTAACTTTGCAGAATAGCAAGCAAGCATTTCTTTAGACAATGATCATGTGTCAGACACACGGCTGCATGTTTGCGTGTTTTAGTTTACTCCTGTGGAAACTTCAAAGCCATTCGTTAAGATGTTCAGACTGTGAGCTGGGTAATTAAGAAGCTGTTTGGACTAGGAGCTGTAGGAGTATAACCCTCCGGAAGAAGTTAAATAAGCCTCCTACTCAATAAACTTTTGTTACAAAACAGCACGGTGAGTGCCTAACCCACAGATAAACATTGCTTTCATGCCCTTCCTCCAGAAAGTTCAAGATGTTTTACAAATAACTTTCAGGCATTGAAAGCTTAGACCCCACTAAAAGCAGCAGAGAATTGGAGTCTACCAAGGGAATAAAAGGGAGGAAAAATACTCAAGTGATGTCAACAAACAGTGAAGGGCTTGTAAAGAGAAACACTAGCCAGTACTCAGTCCTCTGCACCAAAAAACCACTCCCCCTCCCAACACATACAACACACACACACGCACAAAGGTGAACATGAAGAAAGAACTCTATGATCAGCAATATGACCAGTATATATGACTTTATGACCAGTATATGCCCAAGAGACATGAACCCATATGTTCACAAACATGCTATTTCCACACTGGGCCTGCCAGCACACACTTATAATCCCAGCCCATGGAATGCTGAGGCAAGAGAATCCTGAGTTCTAAGGGAGCCTGAGCTACTCACTAGACCTTATCTCACACATACACACAAACCCTATACATGAATGTTCATAACTGCATTATCCATTAGTAGCCAAAAAGTCCATCAACTGTTGAATGACTTAAAGGAAATGTATATATCCATAACATGGAATGTTAATCCACAATAAAAAGGAATGCAATACTGCCACATTCTAAAATGCAATGAACCCTGAACACGGGGCACTAAGTGAAAGAAACTAGTCACAAATCCCATGAGTTATTACCCATTCATATATAATGTCCCAACAGGGAAATTTATAGAGACAAGAAATATGTTAGTGGTCACCAAAGGCTGGGAAGGTAGAGTGAAATGTTTAAGAAGTGACTTCTCCTGGGAGTTCTGAAAATATTTTAATCTTAGATGTTGATGATGAATGCACAATTCTGTAAGTAGACCAAAGAAAAACAATGAATTGTATACTTTAATGAGTGTATTTTTGGTATGAGAAATACATCTCAAAAACAAAAAGGGCTGGGCACTAGTGGCTCACACCTGTAATCCTAGCTAGTCTGGAGGCTGAGATCTGAGGATCGAAGTTCAAAGGCAGCCACAGCAGGAATGTCCTTGAGACTCCTATTTCCAATTAACCACCAGAAAGCCAGAAGTGGAGCTGTGGCTCAAGTGGTAGAGCACTCACCTTGAGCTGAAGAGCTCAGAGATAGCACCCAGGCCTGGAGTTCAAGCCCCATGACCAGAACAAAAAAAGTATTTTTTTTATTTTATTAAGAAGACTAAGGTATAGTTCAATAGTAGAGGATTACTGAGGCCCTAAGTTCTATCCCTAACACTCCAAAAGAAAGAGAAGAAGACAAAGGAGGAGAAGGAGGAGGAGGAGGAGGAGGAGGAAGAAAGTATGACAGGCTATTCCAAGCAATTGACTCTCTTTACCAATAATAAAACCTCTATTTATTCAGTATGGCCAGGTCTTTAGATATTTGAAGCAAGACTTGTCTAAAACAAATTGATAACCACAAAATATCATTATTTGTTATTTCACATACACACAATGTCCCAGAGCACATGGATATGAATCTTAATAGGTCTACTATGGACTCTACTTTCACCTGGTAGAGATGAGAACCAATTCCACTCTATGACCATGTTCACGCATTTGAGAAGGGAGGGTTTGGGTTTCTGTGCAGAAGACCAAGTGTTGGCCATTGTTGCTCTTCTGCAAGACCTTCACTATTGACATCTCTTCTATCCTTAAATAATTTTCTTCCCTTTTATTTGCCTCTTTTATTCCCTCTGTAGACTCTAATCCCTTACTGCTTTCAATGAGAACTATGACTGAGTGAAGAGAAACTGAGACGGATTAAAGGGACCACCTCTCCCTGTGGCACTGAGGCGGGAGTTCAATTTGACTCCCTAAGTGACAGCTGTGAGACCTTCCCCTGGTGCCCAGCTTCGCTGAGTAAAGAAACATCCTCCAAGTAGCAAGCTGGACTGCCCTCATGCCAGCAAGGGACACTTTAGAACTTCACAGACACCTTGGGGAAGCTTTATAGCAACCACAGCTGCGCAGTGCCAAGCACAGCTCCAGTTCCTGAAGGCATTGTCCTCGCCCCCATTGTTTCAGATACCTGTGCTGGACTTTTTAACCATCAAAAGCCTCAATAAAGTCTGGGACCTTAGCACCCAATCTACCCAGACCAGAGGGCAGTATTTCTCACTGTGACCCTGCCAAAGGCCTGTGCCGGGTGTAAATATAGTTCTTCATTTGCATGAGGGAGTGCCCTGATTGGTGCAACTGCAATCCTTTGTTTGCATGAAGGACTATGCCAAGATTAGTGCAAACACTATCCTTTATTTGCATGAAATAGTGCCACAATTGGTGCAGACACCTTCTGCACGTCCCCTTTCTAGCTATATAAACAGGCTATTCGGCTCACTTTAGAAGATGGGCAGGAGACTCTCCTGTGATGCCCACCAATATCCCAACACTAGACTCAAAGACTTGACAAAGAAAGAATATGGTTAGGTAGCAGCTGAGTAATGGCAGTGGTGAAGGTGGCGGAAGCAACAGTATGCCAGCTTCTGCTCTGCTCTGCCAGTGGGAGCAGTGATATGTAGTGCAGCTACAGGAGCCAGCTTGAAGAGATCCAGACAGCACAACTGGGCAAAAATGATGGGGAGTGATGGTGGCAGAGAAGGTAAGGACAGCCAGAGTCTAGAGAAACTGAGAGGAGGCTGAAAAAAAAAAATAGAAGGAAGAACCAGGGACGAGAAATTGTGGTTCCTGTCACGGATGGTATTCTAGAGACCTGTCAAGCCCTGCAAATCTCAGATACCTTCATCTTGAAAGATCTAACACATGCTGTGGAGCCAGCTGAGAGTCTAGTACCTCTGAAAAACTTTATGATTGCTGTTAACTCTAGAAGGAACTACCTACCATTGCTTACTCCTGTCACTCACAGTGGCCAGAACCCAAGGATGACAAAAGCTACCAAGTACTAGACCCACTGGTAGCTAATGCTAGAGCAATGTCTCCAACGTGATTGTTAAGACCCAGTCTCTGGCTACTACATGGAGAAATAGGTCCCTGTCTCTCAGCGTGTAGAGCTGCAAGTCTCTGCCTGCCAGTCCACCCTCTAGGGCTCAGACCCTCAATAGCTCAAGACACGGCCAGGCACCGATGGCTCACATCTATAATCCTAGCTACTGAGGAGGCTGAGATCTGAGGACTGCAGTTTGAAGCCAACCAAGGCAGAAGAGTCCCTGTAAGACGTTTATCTCCAATTAACCACTCAAAACTGCAAGTGGTAGGTGGGCGCCGGTGGCTCACACCTGTAATCCTAGCTACTCAGGAGGCTGAGATCTGAGGATCAAGTTCAAAGCCAGCCCAGGCAGGAAAGTCTGTGAAACTCTTCTGTCAATAAACCACCAGAAAACTGGGAGTGGTGCTGTAGCTTAAGTGGTAGAGCTCTAGCCTTGAGCTGAAGAGCTGAGGGACAGCACCCAGGCCCAGAGTCCAAGCCTCACGACCGCCAAAAAAAAAAAACTGTAAGCAGTGCTGTGGCTTAAGTGGTAGAGTGCTAGCCTTGAGCAAAAGAGCTAACCTTAGTTCAAACCCCACAACCACCAACGAACAACAACAAAAAGCTCAGGACTCCTAGCACTGGAAGAGCTTCTTGCCTACAAGATTCTTATCTGGATTGGTCAAAAAGATCTCAGCCAGCTGATCAATGACAAAACCACTGTACAGTAGAAAGATATTTGGGAGTTCTAGGTCAAGTTTCACCCAATAGTTAAGTGACCTTGGCAAAGGTAAATTTCCTTTAAACCTCAGACTTACCACTGGTGAAATGGAGACAGTGACAGCACCGATGTGGTGGATTGAGACTTTGGGTTTGTAAAGGCAATAAGAGGAGGAGGAAGCTATAAGCAAGATGGGCTGAAGAAAGGGATCAGAGAGGGGAGGAGATTACATCCCATCAATACGGGAGGGATCTGGAGTAGCTAGAAGAACCCTTAAGTTATAATATGAAACCATGTAAAACAGAATTCAAGGAAAGAAGTGGTAAAGGATGATGTTACTGAGTTCCCCAGTTTCTTGTTCAGTTGATTCATTAACTTGTTCCTCCCACAAATAAATGTGACCTTCTATACACATGACACTTTGCCCGGTGCTAGGAATACAGCAACACACCCAACTGTCTATCCTCACTGCTTTTGGTCTTAGAAGAGAGAGTTCCAAAAGTAAATCACATAAACATATCCAATTGAAAATGAAATGCCAGAGATAAGGGGATAGAGCATTTGCCTATCATGAGTGAAACCTTGGGTTTGATCCCCAGACTATGAAAAAATAAATTTA